CTCACTCTATTTGCTCAGGCTGGAGTCCAGTGGCACGATCTTAGCTCACTGCAACCTCCACCTCCCCGGCTCAAGTGATTTTCCCATTTCAGCCTCCCAGATAGCTGGGACTACAGGCACAGGCCACCACACCTGGCTAATTTTTTGTAATTTTAGTAGAGATGAGATTTCACCATATTGCCCATGCTGGTCGCTAATTCCTGAGCTCAAGCCATCCAACCGCCTCGGCCTCCCAAAGCTCTGGGATTACAGATGTGAGCCACCACAGTTGGCTAGAAAGTCCAGTATTATTTTCATTAGAACTGGGGGTCAATTCACGGTCTGCCGTGACCTGGCTAACTTTGGTTAATCCCTTTAACCTTTCTGGTCCCATCTGTGTTGTGTTTTATCCTTAAGGGAGGTAAGTATGATCTCTAAACCCCTTCCCCCTAAATGCAAACATTTGCTGCTCTAAAAAATGTTTTATTTTATCATCTCAGAGTTGGTCATATGGAATGGATTTTGAATTAGGATCATCTGCTAAGGTTGATTATATTTTCCTTACCCCTTTTTAATACTTCTGAAAAAATTAACTCCTTCAATGAAGATTATTTGGGGAAAGTGGCTGCAGGCACATTTTGTTGAAAATTGATTAGTTGTCTCATAAAATGATCTAAACTGTAAGGAACTATATTCTTAATGCTACTATGTGGGCTCCTACTGCTATAATTCAATTCAGGACTTGTCCTCAATATTATGTAGCCTGGAACAATTCTGGTAAATCACATGACTTCCTTTAATAGCAATCCTTGTAAAATAGTGTGAGTGAGCCATCATTCACAGTGTAATATCTAGTCCAGTGCACTACTACTTTTCGAAAAGACAATGATATTCAGAGAAATTTTCATTCATGGGGACACGCTCTGCTTCTGCTCCTTGCTTTTATATAGAATGAAATTTGAATGTTTTTATTACAGGTTTTTATTAAATATGTCTGCAAGAGAGACCATTCGATACCTTATTTTTGTGTGAACCCTGAGTGTTTACATAGTGTTGTTACGTATTATTACCTCTGGTACTATGTAAAGGTACCAGCAAAGAAGCAGGATGGGTGTTAAAATCCCCATTTTACACACTAGGAAACTAGGTTCACAGAAACCAATGGCCTCTTGGGAATCAAACTTGACTTTTCAAATTTCACTTTGTTCTATTCTACTGGAGCTGCTTTTTTGTTGTTGTTGTTTTTGTTTTTTAAGACAAAGTCTCCCTTTGTCACCCAGGCTGGCATGCAGTGGCGGGATCTCCGCTGCAACCTCTGCCTCCCAGGTTCAAGCAATTTTCGTGTCTCAGCCACCTGAGTAGCTGGGATTACAGGTGTGACCACCAGGCCTGGCTAACTTTTGTATCTTCAGTAGAGACGGGGTTTTGCCATGTTGACCAGGCTGGTCTAGAACTTCTGACCTCAAGTGACCCACCTGCCTCAGCCTCCCAAAGTGCTGTGGTTATAGGTGAGAGCCACGGCGCCCAGCCTAGAGCTGCCTTTTAATGCCTTACAATGATTATCATGCTTTGTGCTTTACAAAGTGCTTCCACATGCCTCTTCCTTGCTTCCAAAACCTTGTTGGATGGGGAGAGCTGGTGTTGTTGTGACCATCTTAAAAATGTGAAAACTGTAACTCGGAGAAAAGTGACTGGCCTGGCTCAGAGTTAGTGTATATGTATCAACTCTACAATCTAAGTGTATACATATAGAAAGGCGTTCTAGGGAAAAGTATGCCAATCACGCGAATTGTAGATTTTCTATGAGGTGAAAGTAGATGAGGGAAGGAGAATTGCTAGACTGCACAATGACTGCACACCAACTCTACAATCTGAGTGTATATGTATAGAAAGGTGTTATATATGTCAGGGACATATGTCAGGGAATTGGTGCCCTCATCTCCAGCCTCTGCTGGATGCCTTGTTTTTATAACTTTAGACAAGAATGACTCACCATCAATCCCTGTACAATAAGAAGTTCAACATCCTTCTCAGTAGCTCCAGGGATTGCTGGGGGAGTATCTCTGTTTCTCTGTCATTTATTGTTTCTGATGAAAGCTTGATCTCCATTCTATGCCTCCTGCTCATCTGTCCATTTTCCACACCAGACTACCCTTTGGGACATCCTATACTCTTCTGAAGTACCTTGACCCAAGCCATGTGTGAATGCTTTTACTGAAGTTCTGGGGGATGGAGGGAATTAATGAGTCAGAAGGGCACACACTGAAAGTGGAATATCAAGCATCCCCATTCCTTGGTTATATCTGCCCCTTTGAAATGCTCAGTAGCAGAGGCCACTCAGTCACCGTGCAGTCTAGCAATTCTCCTTCCCTCATCTACTCTCACCTCATAGAAAAAATCTATGATTAGCGTGATTGGCATACTTTTTCCCCAGTACAGCTGCTACTGTGGAGTGTTTTTATAGCTTAGGGTAGATTTCTGAATCTGACTAATTTTTGCAACATCTATATGAAAGAGAGAAATGCAAAAATAACTCTCCATTCCCAATTTGTAATCCAGACTGAGGCACCTTTTATAATTTTTCCAGTGAGAAATTAAAGAGAAATGAAGGTTTTTAAAAGGAATTCATTCTGAAAATAACCTTATAATCTCCAGGAATGACTTTCATCAAGGACTTAAAAGCAATAAAAAACTATTTTTCCTTTATGAGGTTAAGAAATTTGGTCCTTATGCTTTCTTGAAAGGAAATAGTTTATTTTTAAATCCTTAGAGGAACTTATATTCCTTGAAATTTTTAACATATAATTAATCATTCGGAAAATTATTTATTATGATTGCAATTTTCATATATAAATATATTTTCATAAGATATTGAAAATGTGAAAGAATTGTCAGATATTTATTGCAAATTAAATTTGGAAACATTTTTATAACATTTACATTGCTGGCCAGCAATCATTCTCTAACAACTTGCTCTGAAAACAGTAAACATGTGAATCATGTTGTAAAAATTAGTCACATTCAGACATCTCCTCTAACCTATAAAAACTATAAAAACGGCCAGGTGCTGTGGCTCATGCCTGTAATCCCAGCACTTTGGGAGGCCGAGGTGGGCAGATCATGAGGTCAGGAGATTGAGACCATCCTGGCTAACATGGTGAAACCCCGTCTCTACTAAAATTACAAAAAATTAGCCGGGCATGGTGGCGGGCGCCTATAGTCCCATCTACTTGGGAGGCTGAGGCAGGAGAATGGCATGAACCCGAGAGAGGCAGAGCTTGCAGTGAGCCAAGACAGCGCCACTGCACTCCAGCCTGGGCGACTGAGCAAGACTACGTCTCAAAAAAAATAAATAAATAAAATACTATAACAACAACTGTACTGGGCAAAAGGTATTGTTAACTGTACATTTTCTATCAGTTCTAGAGCAGGATGTTTAAAATACCCTAACACAACCACATTTAACACTTAGCTTTTGAAAATTTGAGAGAACTTTAGATTTTTGATGAATGAGGGATGTTAGTCACATACATTTTTGAATTATTTATGCAATGCTTAGGAAAATGTATAATCAAAGTTGCATCAAAGTAAGTTTAATTAAATTTTTATTATCTGTAAAGCTACTGCATACACAACTAGAACTTTACTAATTATTAAAACCAAATATATACAAAGTCATAGCTTAGGGAGGAAGAATTGGCAAATAGAGTACTAACTAGTAATTCGACTCAATATTTAAATATATAAAGGGATGTATAATTTTGTTTTTGATATTATAAATATAAAGACTTAGAGTGCTGGAAAGGCTCTAATATGAATCTTGCCTCACTAAGCTCTCTTATATCCTGGAAAGGACTTATATTTATTCCATAGCTAGGTTCCGTAATCAACCCCATTGGTAGCTAACATTTATTGAGTGTGCCACACATCCTCACATAAATGATTGAATACAATCCCGTAATCTCCATCTCATCTTCTTTTTAAAGGTGAGTCCAGGAGCTTCAGGTTCCCTAACTTGTCTAAGTTCAGCCAACCAGCAAATTCAAATCCAGGACTTTTTTTTTCTTCTGGAAGGTTTGGTTTTGTTCGCTGTTTTCCAAGCTACCTTCACATCAGAACTAAATGAGATATTTAGATACATAATTTTGACATGAAATGTGTTTTGCTTTCTTCATTTTGTTTTCAGGGAATGAGTTGTAGTTAATAATACATTTTATATATCTATGTTGCGAGATCTTTAGAAGAATTTTGATGTAAATTAGTAAATCAGCAAAATAGTTGCTAAATTTATATTTCTTCCATTGAACAAGGTTAAATTCTAATTCATTTAGAATTGTTTTCATGTTCTGATGAATAATCAAATGGCCCATTGTTTAAGACCACCTTTTTACTTTTAATTCTCAGCAGAGAAATAATCACTAAAATCAATGTTTAAAATATAGAACTAGGAAACAAGTAACTATCCAAAGCCTATAGTTACCATGATACCCTGGGAACTTAGAAATAGTTTAAGTTTCAGGCATGGTAACACACAAAAAAAATTCAGTCATAAAGGAAGTTATCTTGACTAGCAGACACACACACACACACACACACACACAAACACACACAGTGTGTGTCAGCAACTGATTTCATAGATAATTTCCTATCCACTGATGACTGCCCCCAAATCTTTCTTTAATTGCAAGGGAAAACTGAGAGCACTTAATAATATAGCTTAATTAGCTGTGTTTCTTATATTTACACTAATAATACTCTGATATACTTGTTTTGATAAGATTAGCAAACAAGCAAAGCTAGAACAAGGCACTGTATTGTTTGAGAAGATCTGTGATACATTTTAGCTTCACTGTTCTATAAAGATTCTTTTTCCTCAGTAGGACTCACTTGAGATAGTGGTCTAATGTAAAAAAGAATATAACATTCATAACCTTTTTTTGCTAACAAACTTAGATTTATGAGAGACAAACATCAGAGATATCAAAATTTCATGTCAGAGTTGAGAACAGAAATAAGCCGAATTCAACTGTTTTTTTCTGAAGCCCTGCTGAATACATTGTCTGGATTGTACCACAGAAGGCTGAAAGCAAAACACGGGTGGGTCTATCAAACAATCCCTGACTCTGTTTATAACAACTGAAGCTGTGCCTTTCATATCGGAGTCCCATCAGAAAGGGGAGGGGGAAGGAAGAGATAAGCTCATCAGTGAAATAGTATCCTTTAACAACAACCAGTCACTTCCTGCAATCAAAACCATGCTAGCATGTGGCTTGTTCAAATAAAAATTACTGGACTGGAGCCAAACAAGGAAAAAGTAATTGATAATGTGGTTTTTCAGAAACCATCCATCCATCAAATGTGTCAGTCCTTCATAATACTTTATTTCCCTTCTGAACAAAGATCTTTAAAATTCATTGTGTGCACTTAAAAACAAAGTGTCCTTGTGCTGGTTTATAAAGATTCTCTTTTAGTTTGGGTTTGTTTTGTTATTTGATTACATTCCCTCCCATCCTGCATTTTTTTTCTCCCAGATAGTTGCTGGAAATTTCTGCCATTCTTAAACAAAGCATCTTTGTGCTGTATCAGCTTGCATTTTCCTTGGATTGTGTTTGGATGATGCCTTTTCACTGACTTCAGCACTGGAGTATTGTAGCCATAGCCTTAGTAAGTAGACTGTAACAAACAGATTCACTAGCCCTTTTTGTGTGTTGCATCCTGTTAATCGCTGGTGAGAAACACTTCTTGGAGTAAGGCACAGGACCTATTACAAATAGAAGAAAAAACGGATGAGGAAATATTGGATCATACTTGAAACTAGAGAAAGCCATTAATAGTCATCATAAAAAGAAATGTCCCCCTTCTAGTAATTCCTCCAATACGTATGACAATCTTATAACTAAAACTTTTTATTTATTATGGAATTCTAAAGATCAGTTTGCAAAACTGATAGTATGTTAGCTCACTAGCAGTTTCCAAAAGCAACATCTATGAAGTAAATTTCAGCAACATTCACTCGTTTCTCCTCCTTATGACTTCCATATTAAAGCTGGTCTTACTATAGATTTGATGCTACACACACACACACACACACACACACACACACACATTTTGCCCAGATATGGGCAAGATCACACCTCAAAATGCATAAAGAGATAATAGCTTCCCAAAAAAATGTATTTTAAGTTATAGTTCTATGATTAAAACACTGAAAATATGAAAAATAATGAAGCTTTGGTGAAGAAAAAATCCCATGTGATTCTGAAATTTCTTTCACTTCTTTCAGCTACCTATTTTATAAGTCAACACAATCATATTATGATTTCTTTTGAATACTTCTAGTACTATCAACTATTGACCTGACAAATACTTTAGAATTGTATTTAGATTTCGTCCTCAGTGTCTTGGCACATGCTACCTAGGAACCAGGCCCTTGGGAGATAGTTTTTCCCTGGGCAGGCAGCTAAATACTGGCCAGAGAAGTCACTCCTGTTACCTCACCAGGCATCTCAGTAAAGTTTCTTTTTAAAGAATGCCAGGAAGAAAAAGTTGCAGTAATGGCACAAAATCTCTATATTACAAGTCCTGCTCCTGAAAATTCTCTTTTGGCCTGCCCCAAATTAATACTAAAAAAGTTACATTCATACCACGATAATAATAACAATTTTTATGTGGACCTTTTTTTGCCTATGAGATGTTACTACTAGAATACCAAAAAGAAACAAGTGTGTACTCTTCATCCAAAGATTGCAACACAAAGAAATACAAAGTATATAAGGCTTCAGGGTTATTTTTGGTTGGACAGATATTATTCATTTGGAAATAGCAGATATGTCAACTACTAAGTCAGCATTCCTGGTGAGTTCCTTGAAAACAAGACCTAATTTAGCTGTTTTTGTGTGAGAAATTACAAGAAAGTCACTGATACAAATTCTGTGTTCAAAGGTACTCACAAAAAAACTTGAAGAACAAATATAAATATTTTTATCCTTTGTTTTCAGCTAGAATTTGCTGTATGTCAAATTTGCCTATTGTTTCACCCTAGGTCTTGTGAGAAGATAAAAATGAAACAGAATAACTCTTTTGTAATATTTTAATGTGCTTTGACTTTTTGTTTTGTATTTTCTTAAACTGAACTTTTCCCTATTCTTCCAGAGACATCTAAAAAACATGCCTCAGAGAATTTTAGGATTGTTAAAGAAATGGTTCAAAATGAAAAAAAAAAACTAATATTCAATTTCTGATATTCAAAAGGGAATTATGTCACAAGTCAACATAGTCTTGAAAGCCAGGCTTTGTCAAAACAGAAAGAACTTTCTAGAATAATCATATCATGACATCAAGAGTTAGGCATGAGTCCGGGAGTGGTGGCTCATGCCTGTGATCCCAGCACTTTGGGAGGCTGAGGCGGGTGGATCACCTTAGGTCGGAAGTTCGAGACCAGCCTGGCCAACATAGTGAAACCCCGTCTCCTACTAAAAATACAAAAAATTAGCCAGGTGTGGGGGTGGGTGCCTGTGATCCCAGCTACTCTGGAGGCTGAGATAGAAGAATCACTTGAACCCAGGTGGCAGAGGTTTCAGTGAACCCAGGTCGCACCATTGTACTCCAGCCTAGGCAACAAAAGCGAAACTCCATCTCAAAAAAAAAAAAAAAAATAGAGCCAGGCATGGGTGACTAGATAATGATTTCTTCCATGGAGAGGAAAAGCTAGGCAGTGAAACTTGCTACCCTGAGATAGCAGGAAGATATAATAACAGGAAGTGAAAAACCCCAGACTTATTCCTCTTGGTCTGAGGGTTGTGGGAGGAGAAGAAGGTTAGTAGTGGTTAGGCTACATCTTTTCTCTTGGGGCCAATGTTCCTTGGGTAGAAATATATATCAAACACATAAATCATTTCACTGATTTAATAAATATCTTTTCATGCTTTTCCATATCTGCAATCAGGATGTGTCACAGCTTTCTGGACATTATTATTAGTTTATTATTATATTATTAGTAGTAGGAGTAGTACATAGAACAATGGTACATCTTAACACCAATGGCATCTTAGAGTCAACGAAATGTGTTAGGTTGAGGAGAAAGGGGAAGAGAGTGGCATCTGTGCTCTTTTCCACCTAGGACTCTGTCCTCACAGACTGCTCTCAGCAACCAAGAAGGCCATATGAAAGTAAACCCACATGTCACCCAAGGTGAGGTAGAAAGTGGACCTCTGGCACCATTATCTGCTTCTCCATAGCATGAATGAGCTCTAGAATATCGAAGGAGGGTCTGGAAAGCTCAGGGAGAGTTGAATAAGAACCTTCTAGGAGGAGGGCAGTCACCATGTTAGGGGCAGAAATTGAAGGACTGCCTTGCAGAGTGGCTGGGCCTGGATCTACTGGGAGTCCTGCACCAGCAAGGGTGAACATGGGACTAAGTCACCAGGGAGGTGACCAGCTCTAGATCAAGCTAAAAAAGAAAACTGGCCATGACCTACACTAGTCCCAGGCTCTAGGACCAGGTCCCAGCAGAACCTCCTGGAAGGAGAACCACCTTCTGTGGTCATCAGTTTCCCAGCTCAGGGGTCTTCTGCAGTAGACCTCACGAGAATCCAGGGTGGACTCTGCTGTTCTGAGGACCCTGTCTCCCCACTGCTGCACAGAGTCACCCCAGCCTCACCTCTTCAAATGGACGCAGGGGCTGTCTTGGGGAAGAACAGGGAGCAAACTCACAAATCTGAAAGACTGTGCATTTCTTTCAAGATAGGCTGAGTGTAGGTAGAAAAACTGCCAAAATTAATGAAGAAGATGAAATTTCCTGGGGTGTTAAAATAAATTTAGTTGTTTCTTTTTTTCTTGCTGCCCAGTTAGGTGTTTATCAACTAATAGAAAAATGAAAGGAACTGTAGTTTCTATCAATATCTGATTGGTAACATAAGTGAATGTGTAATGAAGACATTGCCGTCAAGTAATGAAGTAATGAAGACACTGCCCTCGAGAAGTTTAGAATCTAGAATGATAATATGAGAACATACATAAATATAAGTTACCTTTAACATAAATGTCTTTGAGAGATAGACCAACTATCTATGTCTATGAGAGATAGACTATGCATCAATTAGCAAATTGTGATTCTATGATCTGTATTTTAATAGTAATGGTGTTTAATTGGAACCAAAGGATACTGTCATTATGAGGATGATTACTTGTGTAGTAGGAGTGTGCTAGGTGAACAGAGTAGATGTCGCCAAGTGGATGGACCATTGTGTCATAATGACATAAAGCACATTGGAACATCTCTCTTAATTCAAATGAATCCCCTCTTTATAAAGCTGGGCTTATTGACTAAAGACCATTATTATGTAAAGACTGAATGAGAGGAAGCCATAAAACATGCTCTTTCACCCCTTTTGTGTTTATAGCTACCCAGAAATGAACATCAATATTTAACTGTCTGGATAATTTTAGGCTTATAAAAAACCAATTAGCTATGACTCGGTCCCAGTGTTTGGAGCCTTCGTGGAGCAGAGTATGGGAGTGTTTAGTTCTTGTGGTCAGAAGCAGAGAGCTTGGAGAAAGGTTAGAGTGGCAAGGGTCGTTGCTGGCTTAGTGGGGTCTCCTGGGATGTTATATCCTGAAGGGGCAGGCCGGGGCCAGGTTAGTACGCAGCAGCCCTTGTAAGGCAGTCAGAGAAGGATTCAGGAGAATTGTTGGCAGCACACAGAACCCTTGGCTGCAAGAGCTGCATCACTGAAAATACATCACAGACTTGAGCGTTTCATTCTAGGCAGTTTAGGACTACCCCTGCCTTCAGGTAGAAACCTCCAGGCTTATAAAACCTAGGTCAGCTACAGTGATTCTGATTCCTCTGAATAAATAAGTCCTCCTCTCCAATCAGAGCTTACATGTCTTTGTATGAAAATAAGCCCCCATCCTCAGACTTCACAGGTCTTCTGGGGGGACATCTATGTTTGGCCTGGGGGAGACAGAGTGGAGTGTGGGGGCCTGGACTTATGCTAATTAGGAAGTTCTCCTGTTTCCTTAGTGGTCCAGAGTCCCATGGTCTCTGTCTTAGTCTGTTTTGTGTTGCTATAAAGGAATACCCATGACGGTTATCTATGAAGAAAAGGAGTCATGTCGTTCATGGTTTTGCTGGCTGAATAGTTCAAGGGCATGGCCCTGGCTTCTGACGAGGTCTTTCATGCTATGTCACAATGTGGCAGAGAAGGTCAAAGGGGAAGTAGACACATGGGAAGAGGGGGATATCTGAGGGGCATCCCGGTTTTACAGCAATCCTCTCTCATGAGAACTAATCCAGTCTCCCAAGAGTGAGAACTCACGTGCTACAGCAAGAATAGCACCAAGCCTGTTATGACGGATCCACCCCAACCCATACACCTCTTAGCAAGTGCCACCTCCCAAAACCACTACTTTGGGGATCAAACTTAAACACGAGTTTTGGTGGAGACGAACCATATCCAAGTCCAGTAGTCTCTGATGCTCAGAGGGCCAGACTTATTGTCTAATTTTTATTAATTCTTTTTTCTCTCAGACGTCATTAGTTGTCTACCCGATATCTATTTATCCATATCTTCCTTCCTTATGGAATCTCATATCTATTTGTGGCAAGAGAGGAACCAGCCCCAGGCAAGATAAGTGATTTCCCAAACTTCACAGGAGCTGGAGGTTATCAAAGAGGAATAAGTGAAAGTTTTCTGGGTGATGGTTTCTGGGAGAGAGTTTACCTCTCTCATCAGAGGACAGACTCAGCTGGCCTGGCCT